TGAAGTAGAGCAAGAGACGAGAGCACCCCCTCCCAAAAAAAATCCTGGATCCGCCCCTGTATACTGCTCCCTCTCTGTCCTCTGGTTTGTCTTTGTCCTTAAAATTAGTTAGTAGCCGTCGTAAAGTGGTCATCGGTTTGTGCACAACGCGTATGTTGTAGAGTTGTTGTATACGTTCGATAGTTTCAAAGGTGCCTCTGATCTACGGCATTGTCGCTGCCTTAACAGGGCCAACACTCAGACCAACGTTAACTCTGGCATCGTGAGATAAACGATATAATTAACCAATACAATAACCTTTATTATTGGTAACATATGATTGCTTTTGAATTAACATATAGTTGTTTCTCCTTGAAACAGATAACATTTCTCGAAACAACAGTTAAACTGGAAGAGCTAGTGACTGATTCTTTTGCCTTCACATTTTTACCAACGGCGTTTTCATTTAATCCGCCCAAGATCAAATTTATGAACTATTTCAAGTGGAAGAGAGCTGCTGTTGTGTATGATTTCTTGACAGATGAAGGGGCTAACGTTAAGGTTAGTATTCTGTCAATTTATGGGACAGGGCAAAATGATAACAATTCACTTTCTCATATCAGGAATTGAAAAGATAAAAGCCGTGCAAAATGATCCCCATACATGAACCTGACTTAAATCTACTTATTTTCTTATGTAGAAATAGTGATAACTAAACGACCAGTAATTGGAAACTTTTGCTCCATGCGTTGGTACAAATAAATGTTTGCCTTTTTCACACTAAAGAAGTCAGTCTAAGTCTGTATTTATGTTATGACTGGCGCTGCAAGCGGGCGAAGTGAAGCGAGTGCTGTGTTCTGATTGGCCAATTGCTGGCCAAATCTGTTCTGTCAGCAAGGCTGGGAATGGGAACTCGTTCTCTGAGTGTTTTGATGGACCTCGATTTTGCTCCTAGCATTTTATTTACTTCCTAGTAAGCTTTAGCTTTTTTGGTGTTCCGGTCATTAACTACGTGTATATAAGACCTCCTTTCTTATCTTGGGATACTTTGACTATGCATATTTAAAATTGCATTTGCTGCATCGCAAGCTCCAAGGCCGTTGGGGGTGTGAACAAAGTAAACTTGTTAATAGTGACCTTAGCTCCCACGAGTCTCCTATAGCTTATATAGTGGTAGAGCATCTGGACTGGTAACCAGAAGGTCATTGCTTAATTCAACTCCTACAGAGAAGGGAAGTGATGACGTCACAAAAACTAAATTTATGAAATTATGGGATAGGTTGGTATATCTAGAGAGAACAAAATGAAGAATGCCCTCTTGCTAAAAAGCAGCCTTTTTCTACTCCCCACCAATTTGCCTTTAAAAGGGTGGGGAGTAAGTATCCCGCTCTTTGAGCATGCACAATTCGTTCGCTAGTACCATCTGCTTGGTCGGAGATGCTTCTGATGCTTGTTGCATTCTACTGTTCAAATTCGCCTACTTAATAAGTTCCTCCAATTGGCAGTGTTTTCGCATAAAGGCTCTATGTCAGGTACCACACAGAAAACACACGAAAGGTAATGGGCAAAATTCTGGTGGCAGGGAAGCGCTTAAATCTAGGGGTAAGGGGACCAGGAGAGAAGTTCTCCTGGAGGGAGACAAGATCGAGTGGTACCGGGGGTAGCCACCCTGGACAGGAGTCCCTTTCAGTCTCCGGGGGTGAGGCCCATATCCCCCAGTCACTAGGAACTAAGGGGAATCAGGAGGGGTGGCCCTCCTGGGTGGAGTGCAGATCTGTTGGGACCGGGGATCCACACTCTGGAGTGGATATTTTTCCGGACCTGTCTCCAAGGGCTAAGCCTTACTGTGGGGTAAAGTGCAGCTAGGGGTTGCACTTCCCTGCCACGGATTGTGGAGCATGGGGAGACAGGGGACACAATCCCCCCACAGTAGAAGGCGAATAAAGTCGGGCTCATGTAGGCAGAGGGAGCCGTACTTTCTGCTCCTATGAGACTTCGCAAGTGATCCGACAAAAGTTAAAGATGACACTAGCTGTCTTGATGTTAGTTATGGACTAGTATTAGCTAAGAGTCTAGGTACTTCTAAAATGGTACATTTAGGGGTCTTTATATAGCATTAATAACAGTCCGAGCTCCAGCGGCCTAGAACTTTAATAAGCCAGGGTAGAAGGCCAGCTTTGGCTGCAGTTGTGGCGGCTCCAATACGGAAACTGTGGGAGTAGAAATTTTTGGCAGGGAGACCACAGTGTTGAAGAATTGTCCTAAGCTCTGTTGTGAGATTGTTCCGTGTAAGCCAGTGTCTGGGTTGGACGAAGGCGAACAGAGGGTGGCTTGATGGTGGCTGGGCTTGAAGGAGATAGTCTTTCATGGCCATCACCGAACAGATAGGTGACAAGGACTTTGTAATGGTGATTGTGCGGCCCTGTCTGAAGGGGTCAGTTTTGGATTGTTTGATGTGGACTAGCACGTGGCTGGGTGAGTGGGAGTTGGGTACCAGTGTGATGTCATTGGAGGCAGCCTTTTTACTCCCCACCAACTTGCCTTTAAAAAGATGGGGAGTAAGTATCCCGTACTTTGCGCATGCGCAATTCGTTCGATAGTATCATGTGCTTGGTCGGACATGCGGACATGCTTCTGATGCTTGTTGCATTTTACTGTTCAAATTCGCCCACTAAATACGTGAAATCCTAGTACATTACAAACTCCACATAAATCCTTCTAAATCTAGACCTCGATCGTAAGCGTTACGATCCAGGCCAATTTTACAAGGATTTGTATGGAGTCATCAGAGCATAACGGTACTTATATCTCAAGACAAAGAGGACATTTCTCATGTTTTTCTTTCAGAATATGTCAACCAATCCAATAATTTCTCAAATTTATATTTTGTGACGTCACCGTTCTCTTCGCTATCAGAAGTACTCCAATGTGTTCTTCCTTGCCGCCTGTGTCGCTGACTGCATAAATAAACATCTTTTCTCAAAATTCTACGAGTCCCCTTAGCTTTGTTTTCGGCCTTAAAAGGGTAGCAGTTTTCTACTGTATTCCCCTTTAAAAGTAATCCGGTTTACCATCTTTGGCTGTACGCACCTTTTACACACCTCCCCCGTAAATTGAGATGAGTTTCCCCCTTATTCTGTTCACACTTTTTCACCCTTCTTGCTAGTCCTAATGACTTTTAGTTATTTTATGTTTTAAGGTTGTGGAAGATCTTGCCGCGACAGCTTCTTCGAACCTCACTTCACCTCGCTTTAAACTGACGTTTGAACCAATTAACCCACAGCAAAACGTAGCCGAGGGAGAAGTGTTTGAATCTATTAAGAACAGTCTGCAAAGCCTAAGGGTAATTGATCTTGTTTTCTGCTTCTATAACAACAACAACAATAATAATAATAATAATAATAATAATAATAATAATAAGGTGACTCCCTTCTTATACGTAGACGACCTTAAAGTGTTCGTTGCGTCTTAGACCAAGCTGAACAGGTCCGTACGATCTACCAGTGCAGCTATGCAGGATACCGGCTTGCTGTGGAATCCAAAGGAATGCAGTGTTATCCAGGTCAGGAAGGGCAAGCAAGTTGAAGATGCAGCAGACCTCAAGCTGGGCGAGACGGCTTTGGTCAAGAACCTCAAGACTGGTGTCAAGAACATTTTCCTTGGTGTGAGGGTCGTTCACTCAAGTCTGTAGAACGAGAGTAAAAATTAATTAATATCAAGGCGGCTATGGAGCTACATGTATATGAGAATCCAGACCGGATGAAGAGAATTGTGCGGATATTTGAAGGGATTCTCCTCACTTGTGAAGGACGCACACAATTTAGTCTGGGAACTAGGGACTAGTCTGAATTTAGCCACTCCCTAACCATCGTGTAGCACGCAACAGAAGATCAGAGGACATCCGGTGAGACAATATCTTACGAAAGCTGTGGGAGAGAATGTTAAGGAGAGATGGCAAGGACGTCTGCTGTGGGCCAGATGGGAAGACGACCTGCTGGGTGAACAGGGCCGTTTTGTCTGGTTGAGTGGGTGGGCGTGCGCCCCTACTCCTGCTATCGCAGGGGGTTATGGAACTTTACGAGCAGCTCTTACTACTTCTTACTTCTGGTCGACGCCTAAAAAAGGACAGGAAGAAGACTGACACCAAAAGGCTCTAGCGATCTCTCATACAACTTTCAAGATCTCTTACGTTCTCCAGCCCAGTATCCCTCAATAGTGTGTTAATATATGTAGTTGAAGGACATTATCTTTTTGCCATTCCATGCCGGTAGGCACTAATGTTATCAGGTGTTGCACTGGAGAACATGTACAGAAAAAGCAATCCTTATATTTTGAATGGTAGAGGTCACCTTTTTTAGACTACCACAAAGCTCGCAATTTTAACCTTATTCTTCTAAGATGTGTTTATCACCATTTGCAGCGTTCTTGAATAAGTTCCACCCAGGCTTCTGAGCAAGTGTCACTCCTGTAAAGGAGAGTTGTCTCCTTAGTTGCTGTGAATAACTTCCGCCTTTTTTCCCTGCAAAGTCACTCTTCCAGATGTTGTTCACTTTGTTTAGTGATTGCCAGGCCAGTGCTGTGCGGACTTTTATGTCTCTTTCCTAAGAACATGTCCACCTCCCAGGTATTTGCGTCTTGCTCCCCTGTCTCTTCGATTCCACAACTGTTTGTTTACTTTTTTACTGTCAGTTGTCTCTATTTCTACACTTTCAACGGTGATATACATAGCTTTGGTCTTTATTGCATTCTATATTCCCATTGCGTAAAAGCTGCCTGGCTTGCCTAATCTCGTCAGATAGAAGAACAATTTCATCAGCGTAATTCAAGCCGCTCCTCTTTTCCTTGTGTGGCTTGCCACATTGCAAGATCAACCGCAATGACAAATAAATATGGTGCCAAAGTCATAACTCAGGAAAATATCAGGGGATAGAACCTTCCCTTTCATGTTGCTACATTTTACCATGATTGCACTCGTGATTCTCTCAGGGATGTTGAACATATCGCTTGATGGTTAATGAAGACGAATGCTTTACTAAAGTCAATGAGAACCATAATTAATGGTAGATGGTAATTCTTGACTACTTCAAGGATACCTCTCAATGCCAGCACCTGCGTAATGGTAGATCGACCCGGGCGAAAGCCATTCTGGTTATATCGCAGATATGGATCTATTTTTGGGCGTATACGATTTAATGGCACCCTGTTTATTAGGTTGGCGACTATCGATGAGTAAGCTGATACCTACGGTCGTCGATGTCACAGCGTTTCAGTACCTCAGGCTCTCCAGGTGCTTTACCTTGGCTTATCTGCTTCTTAGCATTAAGCACTTCCCACACTGTGAATTCAGTCTCTGTTATTCCAAGGTTATGCAGAACAGGATGAAAATTATCCAGGGTTGTGTCTTCAGCAGGGGTTCTAGATGAAGCCTACCCGAGCTTACGCGCAGAGACCGGTACGTCAGACCAAATTAACACCATGTGGAGAATGTGTGGGTAAGGTACCAGAGGGCTTTTCTCAAGTTTTGGCACGCTGTTCATTACTGGCGCAGACTAAGTACATGACCAGGCATAATGCTGCACTAGTAGCGCTCTACTTTGACGGAAATGCTAAGGGACCTAAAGCTTGCCGACATCTCTCCTCCTTGGTACTCACCAGTGGAGCTCAGCCCGTTGTACCTGTCAGACGACGCTCAAGCATACTGAGATTTTCCTGTTCACGCAGAGCACACATAGGATTGATTCGCAATTTGTAAACAACAAGGAGATGTGTGTGGTGGCTGTGTTAATGAGCTGTCCATGATTGGACAACCACCCGAAGAAGGATACTGAGAAGACAAAGAAGTACCAAACACTGCGGTGGGAGCTTACTAGGCAATACCCAGTCTACAAGATCGTGGAGCTGAACGTCATCATCGACGTTCTGTCGGAATAGTCCAAGGAGCCAGATGTCGAGATGAGTACGCTCTTTGGGGCGCTGTTGAGCGATGTTCTGAAGTGGACGCAGAACTACTGTCCAGAAACGGCGAAATATTTTAAATGAATAATTATGGTTCATATTCCATGAGAGCTAAGCCAATCAAAGCTCTAGAATTGATTTATCCAATGATTCAGTTATTCATTAAAAATATTTCTCCGTTTATGATTGACTCCAATCTCCCGGCGAATTCTTCATTACCAACTTTCGCTGAACATATTTGAAAGATGTCAGCAATATACCATTGATTCCATGGTATAACATGATTATGATATACTATAGATCAACCTCGTTTCTAGGCGCGGCAGCCTAGCTGTATATTCCCTAGTGAACTAATGAAAAAAACGGTGGTGTTCACGACTATCCGAAGACGAAATACTGAGCTGACTGAACGGAAGAAATGCAAGGCAAGAACTGCATAATTCTTCACATCCTACGTACTCAGCCTCATTCAATAATTCCTTATTATACCATGCTCTCTTTATGGTCAGTTTACGTGTACGTTTAAGGATATACAAGAAGCGAACTTGATTTTTTTTTCGCGAAGGAATTATTACAACGCTAATAAAGTGCAAATTGCTTAGATTTGACCCTGAAGCATAGTATCCTATTGTTATGCATTTCCAATCAACAATTTGAAGTTCACATCATCATTCTAAATTGATGATGTTCTGCGCACAGCCGGAAATACCTCTGTGCTCGTAGACTTGGATGTACATTTCTTAACCAAATATCAAATATGTTTTCATTGATCAGGAAAGAGACTATAAAATCTTCATCGGAGAATTTGGTGACATAGCAGCCGCCCTGGTTTTTTGCGAGGTAAGAAAAGTAGAACTAGATAATTGTTCCCGCAAAAAAGTGAACTGGTGGTATGAAGCGTGTGTGGATGTCTGGTGGTGGTGTTGGTGGTGGTGGTGTGTGTGGGGGGGTCGGGGGTCCTCCCTATAATGGCCTTTACGAGGGGGTTCCGCTCAAAAGAGGTAGCTTTTTCAGGTTTCAGGTGTATGAAAGGGCACGGATTTCACCAGTTGAAGTATATGAAAGCGTAGGAAAGTAGGTCCTAAGATGGCCTAAAAGGACTAAGAGATGCATTTTATGGCTATGAAAAAAGTCGAGAAAGCGTTCTTGCTTTGTGATCTATTCATATTTTGAATACAGTGCCTTTACAGTAGTAAAAGGGGATGCAAAGTTCTAACCTAGGTATGTGAAGAAGGGGTAATTAATGTCAACGTCTTTACACAATTTGAGTTACTATAGTTCCTTTTTGGCTGTCTGTAGAATCGTATCTTGTAGGACTCAGTAAAGCTTGAAAGGTACGCCTAAATTGGTATAACGTAGGCCGTTTAAATTTTAATTTTCTGACAATAATCCCGGCCAATTTTACCCGTAAGTCATCCTTCAGGAAATTTAATAGCCATGAACAGGAGCGCATTACTCGAGAGAGTCCATTTTAAAAATGTCCTGGGCTAAGGATCCTTGGTGGAGAAATTAAAAAGGCGAAAACCGTATTTACTCGATGAAACAACGAAAGTAGGATCAAAATTGCTCTCAAAAGAATGCCACACCATTCATAAGAATGTAGCGTTTATTCGAGGATTATAGAAAATCTTTACAATTTTGGGACCGATACACCTTTGGTACGATACTAAAGGCGCTTTCTATTTGTCAGAACTGGCCGGCCGGACCATTGCCAGACCAGTCTTTATGACAATGAAATTGGCTTTTCCAAGTTTTTTTGCTGAAAAACCATCTCCTTCCCGACACTATAATTTAGAATTTGACTGATCTGGCTAAATAGTTTTGATTAACAGTTAAATTCTCATTATGACAGGAAGGGTCTGGCCGGACAGTTCTGACAAATGGAAAGCGCCCTAAGTGTCCGCCTTAGAGAGAGATGGCCCTCTTATAGAGAGTCAAATGAAAGGAGTGAGAAAAGGAAGATAGGTTTACGTTTTACAGAGGTGTCAGAGGTACGTGTCCGTTAAGAGACAGTCGACTGTATATGGTATTCTATATCATTCAGCGATCTCGATTCTATCTCAGAAGAAGAGCGACGCATGAAAACTCTTTACATCTTTTTGTTTTAAATAATATTTACAAATGATGTTTTATAGTCGACTCTCTCTGAACGGACACCACCATAGGACGGACACCTCCGTAAAACGGACACCTAAAGTTGGTACCTACCTTTCTTTACTCCTTTTATATTTGACTCTCTATAACAGGGCTATAACACAAAACTTTATTTTGCATGAAAATCGATAACTTAATGTAATTGCTGAAATTCTGGAGGTTGCGAATAATCCCAAATCTCAATAAAAACAGGTGTAGCACGGTGCGAGGCGATGGATGATTCGAACTCCACGTGATAGAATATTAAAGCAGATTTAATGACAGAACCTTAGAGTTCATAACAATAGCAGTCGCGTGAAAACAATTCAGTGTAATAGCAATGTTCGTGGCCTAGTTACGACGTCACAGATCGCAGTAGTAGCGAGTAGTAATACACGCAGTAGACAAAGTAATAGCAGACGTAGTCGACGTAACAAAACGTAGACGTAGACGTAGACGTAGGCGTAGGTTCGAACTGAAAGCGATAATTAAAGAATACGAATTTGGTCGACGACTCGCACCAAAAGTAGCAAAAACTAGCACTCTATAGCTGCAGCAAAATATCTTGGGATAGCAACTCCAATGACAGCAGGATAACTTATAATTTTTAGTATTGCGTTGCCTCTTTTATAATAGACTATAGGTGTCTTATGGGCGTTAACAAAGTAAAACTGTACCTACGCTTTACGCGTTTCCTAGTGGAAAGTAGTGCACCATGACATATGCGTCAAAACCCACAGAATGTTTCTAGAAAGATTGATATAATCACGTTCTATAACCTAAAAATAAAAAACTGTCTTAGAGCAACTAAAAAATATTATAAGACAAATGAACAAAAGAATATTTCAAAACTAACACTTACAAGTGCAGACTACCTGCAATTGGCAAAGCTAATCGGGGCAGGTAGTATGGAGACGTATCACTTAAACTTAGTTTACAGTCAGTTGATACAAAGGGATTTTACTGAATCAGGCATTAGAAATTCGAAAATCTTCCGTCATTAACTGGGAGCGTAAAGAGACACGTTCTGTCAGCACACACACAAGCGCAAGACAGACATCAGGGTCTAAGACGGACACTTAGTGCAAGCAGTCCCAAAGGTGATCGTCTAAGAGAGAGTTGACTACATCGTCATTTTGTTGTCTGTGAAAAAACGCCCAGGCGCTTAATCGGTAACGTTGACGGTAACGGGGTGCCCGCTCTGTTGACCTCTTTCGTACCTAGCCCGTTATTAGATTTTGTTTTTCTCACCGAGGCGCCTTGTCCTAGGCTATCTCAAAAATGGTACCTTAACGCAGTTTTTCTGGTATTATTAGAGAGTGTAAGATACTACGACGGCGACGGAGGCAAATACCTCGCTTAAAAAGTGACCCTCACTTCTCGATCTATGAAACTTTAGCGCGATTAACTCCAACTCGGTCACTATGTTTTACGTAGGCGAACTCTCCTGGAGTTGAATTCTTAAGAATAAAAGTTTAAAAAGAGGAAGAGAGATTCGTCCTCGTTTGTTCACGTTGTCGATAAAACGTGAAATTAGGCAATTCACGTCGTAGTCGTGCAGTGACGGCACAGAAATGTACAAAAAAGCGTGATGCATGGGCAGAGTTGTTGTTAACCAGTTGCTTTTTGACGTTCTCGTTGCCGTCGCCTTAGTGGCATCTTAATTATGGCTCTATAGTCCCGACTGACGAGCCCCCCTGCCACCCCACTAAAATATACACCTTTCTGACTCGTTTTTTAAGACAACAACAACACCAGAAGCTTTGTTTGCATGGCCATAAAGGAATTACAGTATTGCAAAAGCTATTAGTCTAAATTTAAGTACTAATTCAACTAATTAGTACGTGCAAAACATAACAAAACGTTACAGTTCTCATTCATTCATTCATTGATATTAATTTGGTTCTTAATTCAAAGCATTGCGAGATAAATGAAACTAATTGACAGTTAATTAAATAATCAGAAGAATTCATAAGAAGAGATATTAAAGTATCGTGTGAAAGTGATTTGAAGTCAGGTATTTTATTTAGTTTTTAGTTTGGAGAAAAATATGTCTCTGATCTGAGAATAAGCCTTACAATCTAGTAAGAAATGATTTCATCTTCGATTTTGTTACTTGTACAAAAGTGACATATTCTTTCATTGCGAGGAATGTTTTCGTATCTACCTGTCTCAATTCTAAGTTGATGATTACTTATTCTAAATCTAACTAATGCTTTTCTCGAAGGGTTTTTTCTTGTTAAAACTAGGTACTGCGAGGGGCTATAGTCGTCTTTGATTGTACAATAAAAACTGAGTTTTTGTGATTGTTGAAGGGTCTGAATCCAGTAAGAGATGTATTTATTTTTCATTATGCCGATATAGCTATTGACTATTGAGTCACTCAATGAATTACAGGGAAAGTCATAGTTTAGATCATAGTAGTCAACCATTTTCATGAGATTAGAGTAAAAGCTAGTTTTTCCGTTATGATGAAGGTCAATTGAAATTTGTAAGGCCTGTTTAACTATAGAATCTTCATTTTTACCTCTCAGATAGTCTAAGTAATTTAGAATCTTTTTATTTATATCAATGATCATGGGAAATTTACCGAGTTCAGCTCTACAAGCAATCACAGACTGACGAACCATCGATCGAGCCACCGAGCCACTTGTATGTCTCATCTCTCTCTCGTTCTTTAAACACTTGTCATGACTAACGAGCCACCGAGCCACTTCTAGCCCTTTAAGACCTTAAAGACCTAAAAATATCGCAATGTATTTTCCTGCCAGCCTCAGACTGCTCAGATTCATGGGTGGTAATGGGCATGTACTGAGGAATGAACGTCTTTTTTTTCTGATAGTTGTATAAAATGGGAATGTACGGACCAGAGTTTGTTTGGATTTTAAACCCGAATGTTGGAACCGTAGATGAGTGGGTCATTTATGCCAGCAACACGAAAAACAAGATAGAGACTCAGGAACAGCTATGCAACAAGACGCAATACCAGAAAGCTTTAAATAGAGCATTCACATTTAAGGCACTCATGATAAGGGAGGACGATAACTTCACTACCTCATCAAATCTGGTAAGAATATTTCTTTTCGTGAACGCTCCTTCAGTAGATCTGATATCGTATATTTACAAGCGTTGAAGTAAGCTTCCAGGTTATTTGTTATGATCCAAATTCACAGTAATTTAGATGACCAATTGAAAGATAGGTATTTGGCAAGAAATGAGCTAATTTTGATTTGTCGTACTTCCATTTGCAGACAGTATCTGAGGCATTTTCAAGACTGGGCATAAATGATCTATCGAACGATAAAACGAAAAACCTGGCCACAACTTCGTTTGATGCTATGTGGGGCACCATGCTAGCCATAAAAGGAGCTAGTGAAACAAAAAACGTTTCTGATAAATTGGGAAAGAACACGTACCTCGAAAGTCAGGAAGTATCTGAATTTCTGGTAAAAAAACTCACAGAGTTGAACTTTCAAGGACTAACGGTACGTTTTACTTTTTACTGTTTTATTTTCTTTTTTGTGAGAAAGGCGTGGGAAAGATGATTGAACTTAACTTGCCTCAAGGTATTTTTGTCATGATTTTTAGTCGCTAATTCTGCTATTTCGTCTCCGCATAGCCGTGAACCCTTTGGCATTCTCCTAAGTTCTACACTCGTAGCAAAACAGCTAAGCTGCCAAGTCGCTTTCTTGCGAGACGTCAATGACAGTATAATCACACATTTCAGTGACGTTTGAGGAGTGACTGTTGTTAGTGATGTTTACTGTTGTTAGTAATCTATAAATCTAAGCATCTTCTATCTTCATCTTTAGTCTTTGAATGAATAATAATAACTATCAGCTAATGTGAACTAATATCTGAAAGACCATCCCTTCTAAATGGCATATTTGAGGAGTTAGGTCTCATTTCATTATACCTCTAACGCATTACTTTCCTAGAGTGTCCCTCCCGCAGTAGAACCAGGTTTTTTTAAAATGGCCTTTTGGTGATCAGTGCATTCCTTCATTGAAGAGGAAAAAAAGACCTTAACCTTCAGGAGGCTGTGACAGTTGTAACCGCCACTCGACCAGCCCTATGAGAGAACATTCGAAGAGTCAAAATGCTGTAAACGAGAAATGTAAGATCGTGCAGCGCCCGTGAAATAGACAATGCGATTTGTGACTATTTCCAACTACTTACATAGCCCTAGTGGCAAAACAACTATTTGAACGGATCTATCTTCAAGGTATTCTGCAGTGTCCTGGCCCCGTCGTCAATTCAAAGCCTCGTGGCTATAAAATTTACAAGAATGAAATATATTAGTATGTTACATATTTATTGATTTCCAGGGCCCAGTGTCTTTCAACCCAGGCAAAAGGAGAAAAGACTTTATTATTGTTCTACAGCAATACCGAGGTATAAATTATAAGAAATTTACGGTATTCTCATTTTCTAAACTGTATGCAAGAATTAAAACTAAGGCCCGGTTCATAGACCGGACTTTTCATGATCCGAACCTAAAACAAAGTACAGTCGAACCTCCACGTGCGACCACCTCCCGTAGGCTACCACCGCCCATAAGCGACCACCTTCCCAAAACACCAAAAATATTCTCAGTCAAAGCCTTATACTGGAATCTCTCCTAAACGACCACCTCCCGTAAGCGATCGCGGCCACTTTTTCGGCTGATAGTTTAGAATTGTCTATTGTTTTCAACCTCCGGTAAGCGACAACTAGGCACATGGTCTTACATTGTAAAAATAGGCAAAAAGGAATTTATTCTTTGGCTGTCATTATAGTCTACACATCTATTACCGTGTTCATTAGTTCGATCTATAACTACAGTACTAACCATTACCCTTAAGAAAAAGACCCAGATTTCCAGGTTTCAGTTAAAGAAGTTAAGTTTTTGTTCGTCAGACGTTTTAGAGGCATTTCTTTACAAGAAGTCACGTACACAACCAAGACTTTGTAACCTCAAATTTGTAACGCGCTTAATCTAATTAAATGCACTTCCGTAAATGAGCTGTCACGTAGAATAGCTAATAATTTTGTTAATAAAACTACCAGTAATTGGCAGTGGAAAGTAAACTTTCATTATTTTATTTAGAATAAATGTACCACTCTATTCGGTTAGGTTGAATTAAAAATTTCGCCCCAGCGGTCATGCAACTCTCGTAAGCGACCACCAAGCTTAACCTCTAAGTCCCAATATCAACATACAAATTCTCCAAACTGATCCTCATACATTTCCTTTAAGAATTAGTTGAGAGAAGTTAATAAAAGATCAAAGCATTTTCTCTTTGGTGATCATTTGTTAATTCTCATAACCTAATCTCTTGACAATGTATGGATATTGTTAGGAGAAAATTGATGTTGGTCACCATTGGGACTTAAAGGGTAAACCTTTGCATTTTGGGCGGTCGCTCGCTTACGAACTTGGGGCCCGTTTCTCGAAAGGCCCGGTAACTTTTCTGGCCCCAAATTATATATTCAAATCAAAATGTAAAGAATAAAAGCGCAGGATCTAGCTGACAAACCAGTTCTTTTTGTTTTGTTAACGGATAGTTTTATCATGTTTATCTGCAACAGTATTGAAACCTCGATCTTGAATGTAAACAGCAACAACTTTCCGGGCCCGTTAATTATTGGGACTTTCGAGAAACGGGTCCATGGTGCATTAATTATGATAACGTATTTTGCAAGCAATTTTACCGAAATGAACATTTTTCTCCTTTTGAATTTACTTCGATCGGAATTAAGATTGATGTCTAAATCAATTCACCCGGTCTAAATAATTTGGGTCGGCCTCAATTCGAATTAGGTTGGGCTCATGAAAGTTCGGCCTCTAAACTGGGCCTAAGAACTAAGAAATATATAAATCCAATACTTTAGTTCGTAAATGAGTTTATTTGCCTGCGCACGAAGCACCATTAGCCTGGGAGGCAGGCCTTGAAATGACGTGTAAAACAGACCTCTCCCTTTTCTCCTTTCACTTTAGTTTCTCCCCCTACCCCCTACCCCCTCCCCCCCCCCCCCCCCCCCTTCTTTGCCTCCCCCTCCCCATTTTGGCTTTGCCACGCATACTAAGTACCATGGGGAAGAAAATCTGATTATCTATCCATGCGAAAATTATCTTGTCACTTGACCGTCCATTTTAACGTAGGATCATTCCATCCTTATCAGCCTTTGTGCAATGCTATAGTGAAGGATATCATTCAATTACTGTTATTATTATTATTATTAGATTATTATAATCATTATCTTTATCATTATTAGGTAATTTATGTAAAAAACGCACAGAAAAAAGAAAGATGGCGAAGATTGAATAAGCTTAATCGCATCTATCAAACTCTGTGAAATCTTTGCCGTGATTGGATATTTAAACCTTTTTCTAACTTCACTACACAGCAGATAAGTTTTAGCTTAAACTCAGGTCACATTATCCACACAACTGATATAAATTTCACTGAATTTTGTCGCAGATAAAGAGGAAAAATGGGTGAACGTTGGTGAATTCTTCGTAAATGAAAGTGGTCAATTAAACTTGAAATTTTATGAAGGCATGGAAAAAACATTATGGGAAGGTATGTTTATAGGCCATTTCCGGGTTCAAAAACTCTCTCGTTCAAAACGAAGCTAAGTGCAAAACCTTTTTTGTGAAAAAAAGCTTTCTTTGCATGAGAATAAAAAATCATTTTCATGTCAATGGCTTTACAGTTAGCCTCGTTTTAAAACAGACGATTCGGGCAACTCGAAAATCGCCTCCATTAAGCGGCCACTTCCGCGGTGCCGGCAAATACAAAATAATCTCTGGATTTCCCATTATACTCTCATGTAACTTGTGTTCAGTTCAAAGGTTCAGACTTAAAAGTACTCATGCATAGTTTGCTGATGTGTTTTATAGCTGGAAAAGCTTGACAAACCATCAGACCAATACATATTTTATTAACTGTATACTAATCGGCCTCGTATTTTGCTCAAGATGGACGTGTCCCAAGCGACAGATCGCTGATAACAACGCAACGAATGGATACTCCGCGTGCGCTCTTCATCATCTTCTCAACGCTGGCCTCCTTTGGTATAGTTCTAGGGATCATTTTCATGGTATTCAATCGCTACTACCGCGATTGCAAGTGAGTTTCATGCACTCTTTAATAAAGGAGCAAGATAGATGTTTTACCAGGGTGGGGAGATACCCCCATATGTAAACTACATTGGTATATCCTGGGTGAGAACCATTACGCACACACAAGAGCCTATGACACTAGTGATGGACTCCTGGCACACATTCATGCACTCATTCATGCACTCTTTAATAAAGGAGCAAGATATATGTTTTACCAGGGTGGGGAGATACCCCCATATGTAAACTACATTGGTATATGACACTAGTGATGGACACTAGTGATGGACTCCTAGCACACATCAATCCAAAGTGGATTCGGAAATAGTGTAGACCTTCGCAAGAGTTATGGCGGACGCTTCCTGAATGGCTTTTTAAAAATAGTTTTCTACGGGATACAAAGGGTCGCAAGAGGTGATTGCAGTTTTTAAAAGAACACGATCGATACCGGAGAAGATTGGCTAAAGTTACAACAAATAGTACGGTTTTAGATCATGAACTTCAGAGTTTGAAAACAAAGGAACGGCGAGTTTCTTGAACGCCTTCAAACCTTTTGGTACAGTTCTGCCTTGTCTTCCACTAAACCTCAGGTTTCCGCAGATTCTTTTAACACTAAAGTGATCGATAAAAGTCATCTGCGCTCAATGCGCGGTGACGTAAATAACCCACAATGCTTTTCGAAAAGAGTAGGGGACGTAGATGGGGGAAGGGGGCTGTTACGGGCCTGCAGTCGTGTAGTTCTGTTGCGGTGACCCTTCCAAAAATTGGAAAATCTTAGTAGATGAATAAATAAATAAATAAATAAAGACCTTTAACGAAACGTTTGAGGGGGTAGAAATATCATGTGATGCAGTGACTGACCGAAGATTCAACGCATAAATGTTGGATGGCAAAAATTATACGGTTAGGGTCGGGTGAAGCTTAATTTATTGAACAAGTCACCCCAACTCAAATCCTTATCACATAATTTATGCCATTTCTCAGGTCATGAGAAAACTCGATCTTTTCTCCTTTTATACTCACAAAAATGAAAAGCAACGGGTATAAGGAAATGTTTACCGGTTTTCTTTTCGCAGTTATGCAGACCTAACGCAAATGTTGGCCTTTTTTCTAGATTTATTCGTCTATCTGTTCCGATGTTCAATGATATTATTGTTTTGGGATGTATCATGTGTTTGAGCACAATATATTTATTTGGAATCCGGAAAGTCAACGATGCCAATAGAACCATGCCACGTATTTGCAAGGTGAGGAGTAACGTTAATTTCATGTGGTTATCTACCAGTCAAACCCAAAACCGCCCCCTCCCCCCCCCGGGGGGGCCAAGTGGGCGAAAAGGATTTCATAATTCTTTCAGCATTCAGCCTGTGCAACGAGTTCACGGGTCATTGTTCATGTATTCACAGTTTTGTTGGAGCATTTGAGAAGCCCGTTAAATGAGGACTTTCTGGAATGAACAGTTTTTTGAAATGAACAAACCTCCGTAAGATAGCTTTCGGAGGCTTAATTAAGATATTTTGATTGTGATAAATGGGATATTCATATAATAATAATAATAATAATATTTATAGAGGGAGCCCAACTCGCCAAGGCGGTTTTCAGTGGGGCCCTCATGCATAAATCTAACTAATTAATTAATTATTACGAAAAAGTAAAATATGTTTACAAGTAAAACAAATTTAAAAATTTAAAATCTTAAAATCGATTATACAAAAAATATCAAGGTTTAAAAATTAGCTGAGATCTTTAAAAAAAGTTTTTAACTTGGATTTAAAAATAGATAAAATATTACACTCTTTTAAATCATTGGGAAGGCTGTTCCAGTCTTTCGCGGCGTGAAAAATAAAAGTTTGTTTACCCCAGTTTGTTCTGGGTAGGGGTAAGCGAATATCATTAGAGCGTCTTGTATTATATGAATGAACAGCTTGAGTTTTAGTAAAATTAACGTTGAAATCGGTTTCTCCAATAAGACACTTGTGGATAGACTCTTCAGTGCTTCAGTTGACGAGCTTCGGGGTGGTTGCGCCAGCATAACTTTAGCAGCTTTATTCTGTAGAATCTGTAATTCTGACATGATGGTGTCATTGTTTTTGTCCCCCCATATAACGTCTCCGTAATCAAAAAGAGGGAGGATTAGGGCATTGTACAAGGCAACTCTAGCTTGTAGCGGCAATAGATTTTTGAATAAACGGTTTGACGCATGGGAAAAGCTGCCCGTGGGTGGGGAATTTGACGCTTTTTCAAGCGCTAGCCGGTGGATCATGCTACCATCTGAACAGCACTATACCAACTTACCGGGGAATTTAACCATAAAGATCAAATCCCTAGGGGGTTTGCCGGGGGGGCATGGGCGGTTTTGGAATTGACTGGTACATAACTGTGGTAGTGGCGAGATACTATCTGTTTTTCTTTTAATTCTTTAATTCACATTTTATGATGTATCTTATTTTTTTTCAGGCTCGTGCGTGGCTTTTGAACATAGGATTCTCCTTGGCTTTTGGAGCCATGTTTATCAAAACCTGGCGAGTTTACAAGATTTACACAAACATAAGTCTGAGAGTCGGTGTAAGTGTATCAAATTTTAAAATTGCCAGCAAAAAAAAACTTAAAAAATATATTGGAACAAAACAATTGTTAGATTCGGTTTCGTATGATCTGAAGAATTGCGTTGATCTCGTAATTCTTCAAATCCTAATCAGCCTCAACCAATAATTGCTTACCGTATTTATTCGATTAAGCGCCTAACCTCGAATAAGCGCCCATCCTGTAGGGAGGAAAAGTTAACAAGCAACTAGCCTCGAATAAGAACCCATCCCACCCACCACCATCTCCCCCAAAAAACTGAAGTGGACAAGATAGTTGTTTATTATTTTCCTACTGCACATTATACTTATCGTCGACTGACCCATTTGCAGACGTTACGCTGTGAAAAATCGACGAAGCAACACGAGAGAGTTCGCTTATTGACCTCACTGACAATGAGATAGAAATTGACTAGGTTCTATTAGGAGACTTCCCTGAGGACAAAGTTCTTAGTCGCTTTTAAATAAACTGAAATAAACGGTTAAAAATTCTGCTTTGCCACATCTTCACGTTTTGCTATTATTTACTGTTTTGTTGGAAAATTAACTTAGTACTTGCTAAAAATAACGAAAATTTAATAAGCGCCCACTCTCGAGGCCCAGGAATTTTATAACCGCCATAAACACAGTATCCTTAGTTCAAATCATAAATAAGTGCATTCTCTCCGTTATACAATGGAAGTTGTTTAACTTGCTAACATCTAAAATGTTCGAAATTTATCAGCTGGGATTGTCTGATTGGCGGATTCTGGCTATGGTATTTGGGATCGTTGTGATTGACGTGGTGCTGTTAGTGGCTTGGGAACTTACAGACCCGCTCCAACATGAAGAAGCAGTCGTGGACAAGAAGGTTAGTGGACAGATTACAACCTGCTCCAACAAAAATTTTTCAGCGTATATCTTATACGGTATTAGCACTTGTCGAGAGGTGCTTGTAATGCTGATTTCAGGTTTATGAAATTGCTCTATTCATGTGCTTCGAATTTTTACTGTATGATTTCATGTGGTGAGCGTATATGGCCACATTCACAAAATGTTATATTTCTTTAATCTTTGGAGGAAGATTCAGCTGGGATCACATGGACTTTGAAGCTTCCAAATAACAGTCAGTAACTATAAACACTATTCACGATCTGAAATAACGCGTACTTGCTCTCCCGGCGAAGTGACCTGGTCCATGGTATTGATGATTAATACTTGTATTTTCGGTTTTCATTGCAGAATGATCCAGGGGATCACTTCAAAATAATAATGTCTACAATAAATACATGTACGGGGAAAAATGTGGAAATGTGGGTGGCATTGATTTATGTTAGCAAGGGAATTCTTTTGCTTTACGGGCTGTTCCTCGCTTATCAGACAAGAAATGTCGTGTATGCGCATTTGAACGACTCGCGAATCATTGGAATTTGTGTGTACAACGTGGTGGTGCTGTCCACTATTGGGGCGTTCTTGGCTCTAATTTTGAAGAACGAACAGTATGTAGAGTTATACTCCGCACTAAGTGTGTGTATATCTTTCCCAGCTGCAGCCACTATATCGCTGATCTTCATACCAAAGGTAAAACCTGATTTATTCGGCCATTTTCAACAGATAATTTCATTACGATTGTCACAGATTTAAAAGCTCGAAGGTCGCATCGTCATGGAACCACTTGTATTCATCTGACATATCACTCCTCGTATTAAATTTATACAGCCGCCAGGCTGCCTCGTTTCCAGGCGCCGTCTGCGCTACTATTGCAGAGCATCACTGATAGGAAAAATCTATCCCTCCCATGACACAACGTGGGCTATCTAAGCGTAAGGAAGGACGCCTGGAGTCGAGGCAGGCCGCCCAACGAGTTCACTTAGTAGAAACCGTCCAGCGTCTTTTAAGGTGGATTTTTACCCACATTCGTACGCGCGTAGATAAAATAGAAATGTGTGGAAGGTCAGGCGTAAACGTAAAAGTTGAACCTCACTTAAACGTTTACACACGGCCTTTCATACATCGCCTATCTATGTATTTTATTTACGCTCGTAGGCACCGGCGTAAAAATTACACGATTGTGGACTAATCCACCCTTAGGCTGCAGACTACCTTGTACCTCCTGTGTGCCTGGCATTTGATGGTGCATATTACTACTACAGTAATGATATTCAAAAAGGGTTGTCGGTAGACCAAAAGAAATGCAGTGGATACTCATTATGTTAGCAAGATTCCCCCCAGTATTTCAGTGGGCTAAGCGTGCACGCAACGCCGTTACAGGTATTAACGAAGTCGGGATATTCCAGAACAAGGTTCTTCAATCCCGTAATCCCGACCCAAAATTTCGTGCAATCCCTTAAACCTGATGGGCTTATGGCATCGTACCTCAAATCCAATCCCGAAACTCGCCCTGATTTTGCTTTAAAATCCCGAATCCCGAGCTTCAAGTGAGGGAATTCCCGGATCCCGAGCTTCATGTAAGGGAAATCCCGAATCCCGAACTTCAAGTAAGAGAAATCCCGCGTCCCGAGCTTCATGTAAGGGAAATCCCGGATCCCGAGCTTCATATAAGGGAAATCCCGAATCCCGAGCTTCAAATGAGGGAAATCCTGAATCCGTAAAAACCCACTGGAGACACACAACTAGTTAAACAACACTGTTATCTTCTAATTATTCATTTAAATCGCAAATTTTTCTTTGTAGCTGATACATTGCCTAAAAGCAAGCTCCCTCGACGGAGAAACCGTTGGAGAATCGACCTTGAATCACACTTTTTCTCGTTCATCCATCGGCGTAACCAGCACATTTAAGGGCACAGAAATAGGAAGAGAAAGATTCGTACACGCTCCTCCGTCAAGCAACAAAGTCGGCGTCTATCAAAATGGAGGTTTCATGGACAGTCTTCCTTCTATTCCTTCACCCTCACCTGCAAAATCTGTAGAAGAACCTGCACATTCGGCAACAACACTAGAGGATTAAAATCTCCGACTAGCTTAAACTATCGTAAGGCACTGATAATTTTTCTTACGCCTCGCATATACGGATCGGTCATATTCTTACGAACAAAAAGCTTCTCATTCTCTTGTAAAATGCAAAGAAACAATGTCCCTAAATTATGGAACAACACACACGTTGAAAACGTCGCTGGCCTGATGATGGTGAAGATAAGATGGTCAAAACTAAAAATGCCTAGGCGAAGTTGTAACACAGGCCGCCAAAGTTTTTTTAGCCATACCACTCAGTGAACATTCGGAACACACTGTACTGTTTTGCGGCAGCGCAGTTATTTGAAGTTCTGGTACCAAGAGCTCATAGAAACAGAAGAAAATCATGGCTTTGAACTTTCCGACGTACAGGCTTGAGAACATTTTTTTTGTGGAATTCAACCTCTACGAGAAAAGAGCCAAGGATAAATTATTATGAAACCTTTCTAGTGAACAACACGACTAACACTAACAGTTCTTATTTGATAAGTCGCCTGGCGACATAGGATGTAAACATGCCTCTATGTGCATCGTGCAACCCTTTGGTCTTAATAGCATGTCATAGTAACAGGTGGTGCTTTGCATAAGGGGCTTTTACAATAAGCCCCACGTCCTATAACCTACCAGAACAGGGCTGTGCGCCCTACCCCACCAGGGTGGTCTCCACTATAAGGTGCAAATCTAGGCATTGAAATTAAGGTTCTTGCCCGCCACTAGCTAGAGAAAATATTCAAAAAGAGAGAGAAATTTTAAGCTTATTTGTTGGTGCAAGAGATCATAATAGGACTATTATGGCTCTTGGTTGGTGTTATCCTTTTAATTACCCGGGTTGTTTCTAAACTCGAGGGAGCGCGGTTTTGCTTATTCTTTTAGGGACTGTTGATTGTTTGCTTGTAGGGAGGAAGATCCCAGAGGGCGGGTCATCCTAGAGCCACATATCTTCTCCTTTTAGTTAACTGGATGCAAAAAGTTGTAGTTGTCCCTACACTGCGAGAAGAGGCCGCATTTTGCGGTGTCGTGGTGAACTGGTGTGCGAAAAGTACTTTTCGCAGGCCAGAATGTAGCCTCTGCTCGCAGGGTAACTTGGATACCCCGCAAACGATCCTTTAGTTCTATAGAAAAAAACAAACATGATTACCAGGATTTCGACCGCCAAGGATCGACAATTTCTTCCGTCATTACAACTTTCAAGCGTGCAAGGCCAATAACCTAGCGACGCAGTAGAAAGCCGAGAGATCAATAGTCCATTTTACTGTTACAGGTGAAAACGAGGCTGGAGGTGACCGTTTATTGATGCAACCAATCTCCTTTATCATCGTAATCATGTTTTTCTTATGCTAACTAGTATTTTGTAGCAATTTTCATAAGAAAAGGGAAGGAGGTTTGTATCAACATAAGCTCAAACTCAGCCTAACATTCACTCAGGGGCTAGCGTTCTTAGCTCTGTAAAATGGATAACACGATATAATCAGAAACAAAATGTTCTTAAGGCTCATCAGCCTCTTGATGAAGAAACGATTTAGAAATGACCAGTTTCAGCCAAAAAAAGATGTTTTTGCCCAGCCCCGATCGAAGTGTCCTTCATGTACAAGAACCGAAAAGTAAAAGGTGAAGATTTTTTTATCTTTTAACTAAGCCATATAGTGTATTTACCACTTTAACTAAATATTTTATCATTGCATTAAGTTGTTCCGCCTTATAGGATCTTTCTCCGTCCCTCCCTCGTTTAATTTGAGACTAAAAAAAAGCACAGGTAAGTCAGGCGTATTACCTATTTATACATCGATAATAATTTCCCATACAAACTCTTACATTACGCTACCCTGCGAGCATCTCGAGAGAGTCGGGGTCGTAAACAAGCCAACTATGCGAATGACAGCAACGCGAACGATTCCGCACATCCTAAAAGCCATGCCGTAAAGAAACTTCTGCTCGCAGGATAACATTACGCTAAGACTACCTGAGACTACCTGTCAGAGAAGGCAAATAATTAAGAACCTTAAGCACAACATCGTTATTTGAGTTAAGACGACATGGGACCTTTGTCTCTCAACAAGAGGGAATGCTCTCGATAAATAGAGAAAGAATTGTCTAGTTGGACAAAATAATTTTACATAATTATTGCGTAAGTTATGAGCTACATCTTTTCATTTAGGAAAAGCATGCAGTGTAAATTGAGGTTGGATTCAGTTTTACGTATTTAAAAACGTTGCTTATGTTCAGATGTTAAGAATGTTTTAAAAAAATCTTCTGACCTTGTTATCTCGTCTCTGTAAGTTTGTTTTAAACGTTTTGGGAGAATTTGTTAAAAAATTAAAATAGTCTTTGTAAGCCAGTGTGAGCTTCCACTCATTCTTTAAACGTTTTTCTTTCTTTGGGTGGTGGGGGTGAAGAAGCCAAGGAAACAGATTGTGATTCACTTACCAACACGCGCGCGTGCATTGCTGGCGTAGTTTTTTCCTTTGCTTTCACTAGAATAAAAAACAGCGCTAAATGATTGGCCGAAGGTCTAAAGAATTTTGTCCGAGATTGTAGCGATGTAAAATGGAATCAATAATCTGAGCAGATATTCTAGTTTTACTCTTAACCCAGTTTCAATAAAACCAAAAAAACTTCTCAGTTACAATAAGAGAAGTTTTTCATTCACAGAAGTTCAATGAATCATCCGAACCACGCGAAGAGTGCAGAGTTGACTAATCCTTGGTTAAGAAAATATCCCATCGAAATTTTCCGGTATCTGCATAGCAGATGAAGCGTGGAACGTTTCCTCTCGATAGTTCTATTATATTAATCTTTACCGTGACTGCGAGTAGTCTCTTGTTTTTCTTTTAAGGCAAAGTAGATCGAGAGCATGCGTGAGGTGAAAGCGGCGAAGCTGCAAGGAAAGAGTGCGGAAAAAAATTGCTCTCTGCGCTCCAATCTCTGCTCCCATTAATTTGCACAATTTAATCTTTTCACTAACGTCTCGTTGCTCTGAGAAAAAAAGGACGACGGCTTCCGGTCTGACCTTTGCCTCTTGATATGGACAGAAAAGGTTCCCCATCCCTATACCTTCTCTTGACAAAATTAATGGTGCCTCATTCACATACCTTGTTTAGAACGTTGCATCCCTTTTAGCTGCTGTAAATGCGCTGTCTTCAAAATATGAAGAAATCACAAAACTAGGAAATTTTCTCGACGTTTTCACAGCCATAAATTCTTCTGTTAGCCCTTTTAGGTCTTTTTACAGACGGAAATGACAAATTACCCTCCCCTTTCACATACTTCAACTAGTGAAATCCCTCACCTTTCATATACCTGTGGCCTGACGGGTACCTCTTTCGGGCGAAGCCTCCCCTAACTCTTCTATGGATAGCCATTGAATGGAGCAAACGGTTGTCCAAATTGTTTGCTCGTCTCCATGCAGTTGACATAAAAACAGCGAAGTCACCAAAGACCGTTCCCGAATTCTAACGTGTTCTTTGTTCCGTTTGTGACCGTAACTCGGGCGCCGTACCAAGGCATCAAGTAAGAACGCTGCCTATAAGTCATTATCAGTTCTCAGGACTTGAAGCGGTTCCAGCTTTTCAAGTAACTAAATAATACTTCGTCATAAAACCATAATGTCGAAAAAAA